AATAAAAATAAATAGTGAATTTGACTATTCAAATTAGAATAGCTAAGTTCGCTCTCTATTTTAGAAAGTTAGAATAGAGTTTCTTTCAACTTTTTTTTAATCATTGATTATCTAAAATAAATAGCATCTTGTGTTTATAGTCTATTAAAAATGTTCATATCATTAATGAACTTGCCAAAATGTTATTTTAATTGTCATTTTATCTACTTTATTATTGAGTATTAACTCTTAAAACGGCTAGACATGAAGTGACCAATAAAATAAAAATTTTGAAAGTTTAGTTGTAAAATTGTACTACCTGAACAGCCCTCTGAACAACCAGAGGTTATGTGGCACCCCGCGCAGGGGCTTGAACGGGGTGCCACGTAACCCATTGATTGTCTAGGGACTTGTTCAAGCAGCACAATTCTTAGTGGGAACTTGAAAACTTTTAAAGTTCAATGGTAACTCAGAAATGTTTGAAAAAGTTTAGCGGTAACTCGAAAAACTTTAAAAGTTGACAGAATAGGAATATTTGAGAAAGTCCAGTGATAAGGGGATTTTAACCATAGTTAAATATGCATGCTACTTTCTTTTCAATGGGGGTAAAATATCACTGGCCTTTTCGAAGTTAATTCTTTTTTGTTTTTTATATGGTTTTATCATTTTCTACTTTTGTTATCTGTATATGTACTATATGTTTACGCATTTATACGCGCAATATATATTGTGGGAGGTAAATTTCATTCGTGATAATTATATATTTACTTTAATTCAATCAAGTAAATGTACTTTAATGTTGTCCAATCGGATAACTACATTTTAATATAATTTCATTTGGATAACCACAATTTAACTTTCGAGTAGCTACACATTAAGTTCGATATCAAATAAGGTTACTTTGTTCAATTATACAAAAGCCAATGATGTGGCAGTCAACAAATGATAATTGTCATATGTAATCGTTAGTTGCTAACATAAAATAAGTACAACTTGATTGAAATAAATGACGGCGATCATTTATTGATCAGCCATGCTACAGGTCCAAACTCGGGGACTGACCCAAAAACAGGGGGCTGAGCCCCCGATTTCAACTTCATTTTTTTTCAGATCCAAGGGCTAAGGTGTTGCCACCTTGGCACCTTGGATTTGGTCGGTCCACGAGTTGGGACAAGTTGCATTTCCCTTTATTGATTACTATGTTATCAATTTTTCGTCAGTCCAAATTACATGATTAGATGGAGTTACCAGTTTGAAATATTTAAAATATAGTTATCCGATAAAACAAAATTGAAATACAATTATATGATCGAAATACATGTTACCTTTGAACTCTCTAACTAATTCAATTAGCAAATGTATGGTAGTAAAATATTATGTAACCTTCTTGATCTTGCGAATAAATATGTTACTCCCTCATTTTTGCAATTGACAAGCTCATTTTTAAACTTGTTAAATATCATACGCTTTTATATCCTTTGATATACTGTGCATCGATCAAAAAGTTATTCTTGTGTTTTGTTTTACTGTAGTCAACGCTACACCAACACTTATATTGTTAAAGAAAAAGTTGAAATAAAATAAATTTCCAAACAATTGGTGGTGAAAATTGTTTGGAAATTAATTAGAAATTGCCACTACATGGAATCGCCCCTTCCAAGACAAGTCACCCAACCGAAAAAAACCATTTTTATTAATTTTATTTATTTTTGTTTCATTTAAGCCCCAAACTGTAACCCTCAAATCTAATCCAATGGCATATAAACTAACCCACATCCCTTTTCAATTGAAGGGAATTTCGAACTGGGCGCTGTACATAGTCTTCAGTTTAATTGGTGAAATGATGAGTTTTTACTAGCAAATATTGAATTTTTTAGATATTTAGCCAGTTAGCTGATCAAATATTGAGTTTGTTATAGAAATCTCAAATTACTGGACAATCCTCGAATCTATTGGGCTTATCTCGAGTTTTCTATCCCAAAGCCAAGCATGTTGAACAAGTCTTGAGTTTGCTTTACTATTTAACTCCAAATATGCATTTAGAGGGATCCCTTCCTTTCACGGAGGTGGCCACGCGAAACCAAAGGGAAATCCCTCCTAGTGGTGTTGAATAAATTAGGGGATGAGGGATTTAACGACTACTTTCAATTGAAAACTCCATGGTTTTGATCGTTAGGAGGATGGCGTGGGTGTGGGTAGGGAAGATTATTTTATTTCTTTTCCTTTTCTTTTTATTTTATCTATTTTTTTACTAATTTAACTTAAAGGGCAAGATCATTATTTTGTACAAATTTAATAGATTTTGGGATGGAAACCATCCACGGGGCCAAGTCTACTAATTTTTCAAAGATAGGGGACAAAAGCAAAGAAAACAATATTAGGGACAAGATCAATACATTGGACAAAGGTTAGGGATGAAATTGCAATACCATTAATTATGTGACTAAAGTTGAAAAAAAGCCCCTTTTGCCACCCATTCTTTCCAAAATTTAATGGTTTGAATAGTATTTTTTTGAAAAAGGCGTGGTTGAAAAAAAATGAAAAATTTTTAATTTGCGAATAATATTATTTTATGAAATATTGTATGGTTGAAAATAAAAGAGAGAAAAATGAGAAGGAAAATGAGGCTAAAAGGGGTAGAAGTTTCACAAAACAATATGAATAATTTCATTATCGGTCCCAACCTATTGCTATAATATAAAGTTGATCCTCGATCTCTAAAAAGGAGTAAGTTGATTCTAAACATTAAATTATTCTAATTAATATAATTTCTACATTATAGGCTGATAGAAACGTCCTAATTTTGATTGGATTGTTAATATAAACTAATTTAAAGAAGGAAAAATTAAAAATTTTGTTGGAAAAATAAATAGAGAGTAAAAGCAAAATTGAAGGGTCATATGGTCATTAAATTCTTATATAGCTGCAGCATCCCAGAACTGCTGCCCACTTACTACTGACTTCCAAATAACATCTGCCTCCTCTCTATTTGTCACAAACACTCCACAAATTCTATCCACAAATTCGAAGATTCTGATTTTTAGGATAACGATCTGTAAGTTCTGCGAATCTTTTCTATCTGTTCTTCGATTTTAGAGAAATTTTCATTTTTTTGGGGTTTTTTTCTTGCTATTACTTTGATTTTTGTGGGTTCATTTGTTTCCTTCATCTTCTAGAACTATAGTATTCTCATTAAGA